ACAATTATTTGGAATTTGATTTTCTATAGTCTGATTAACTGATTCTTTAGGTATTTTTGTATTTTCTAGTCACTAATTAGCTTGGGCGAACACATTGCGCAAAATAGAAACGTATTACTTGACGTGGATGCTATAGCATTCAACAATTAAAATATGATAATCTAACTAGAAAATTAAATGTACATATATATGTTACCCATGTTATTGTATTTTTCTGATTTTATTAACACGTTTCCGGACGTGGATGCTATAGCATTCAAATTTTAGAGACAATTATTTGGAATTTGATTTTCTATAGTCTGATTAACTGATTCTTTAGGTATTTTTGTATTTTCTAGTCACTAATTAGCTTGGGCGAACACATTGCGCAAAATAGAAACGTATTACTTGACGTGGATGCTATAGCATTCAACAATTAAAATATGATAATCTAACTAGAAAATTAAATGTACATATATATGTTACCCATGTTATTGTATTTTTCTGATTTTATTAACACGTTTCCGGACGTGGATGCTATAGCATACAAATTTTAGAGACAATTATTTGGAATTTGATTTTCTATAGTCTGATTAACTGATTCTTTAGGTATTTTTGTATTTTCTAGTCACTAATTAGCTTGGGCGAACACATTGCGCAAAATAGAAACGTATTACTTGACGTGGATGCTATAGCATTCAACAATTAAAATATGATAATCTAACTAGAAAATTAAATGTACATATATATGTTACCCATGTTATCATATTTTTCTGATTTTATTAACACGTTTCCGGACGTGGATGCTATAGCATACAAATTTTAGAGACAATTATTTGGAATTTGATTTTCTATAGCCTGATTAACTGATTCTTTAGGTATTTTTATATTTTCTAGTCACTAATTAGCTTGGGCAAACACATTGGTTAAAATAGAAGTGAAATGCTTGACGTGGATGCTATAGCATTCAACAATTAAAATATGATAATCTAACTAGAAGATTAAATGTACATATATATGTTACCCATGTTATTGTATTTTTCTGATTTTATTAACACGTTTCCGGACGTGGATGCTATAGCATTCAAATTTTAGAGACAATTATTTGGAATTTGATTTTCTATAGTCTGATTAACTGATTCTTTAGGTATTTTTGTATTTTCTAGTCACTAATTAGCTTGGACGAACACATTGCGCAAAATAGAAACGTATTACTTGACGTGGATGCTATAGCATTCAAATTTTAAAGTCAATTATTTTGAATTTGATTTTATATAGCCTTAAGTTTTTGCAATTATTATATGTAACTGATTCTTTAGGTATTTCAGTATTATCTGATCTTATCTGAATTATCTTAGGCAAATGCATTGTGTAAAATAGAAGCGCAATACTTGACGTGGATGCTATAGCATTCATCTAGCAATAATTACCTTTATAAACCAAAGCCTATTTTTGTATTTTGCTTAAACTTGTACTCCCCATAAATGTATTAAAACTCACATACCAAAATACCGCTTTTAAGAAGCATCTATTAATCACATGATCGTGCTTTAAGGATTTTTGGACCCATTTCTCTCCCTTGGTTATATTTAAAATACCCCCCACCCCCCAGAAATCATCACATGTATTTTTTGTACCTAGAAAGTCATAATTTTTTGAAAATGTTTTAGAAAAAATTTAGATTTTTTTAAATTCAGCAAAAAAATAAATACAAGTGATATCTCACTACACCCCCGTCCCTCTGTGTGATTATTTGTGATTTTTGTAAAACCCCCCTTTTCCCTTTAAGCCTCAGGTGATTAATGTAAGCCCCCTTAACTACTATTAAGAGACTACTTACAGCTCCTTTCCTGCGAATTTTAGCTTTGCGGAACTTATTTCTATGCTTGACACGAGGATTTCGCATTTCCTTCTTGCGTTTTGGCATAAGACCCTTGTTCTTGGCAATTTGATATGTAATAGCCCTTTTACCATCTTCCTCTTTCAACGACACTGTATTGCCACCAGTAGCACCTTTTTCACTTTCAGCTGAAATTAAAATACGTGTAAATGTGTTATTAAATACATAAATAAAGATAAATGTACACAGACATACCTTCAGATTCAGATTCCGAGCTCGATGTATTCAATTTCATTTTTTTACTTGGTAATACTGGTTGCTGCTCCTCAGTATCTTCCTCAGGGGGTTCTTCAGCAACAAAACGCTGCTTAATTGTTTTGGTGGAAATGTTTTTAAGAATACCTAACTTCTTTTTCGGTTTATTTTTAATTTTCTTGTTAGTATCTTTGTTATTGAATTTCTCCAATATATCCTCAATTTGATCTCTTATCACCTCCTCAAAAATTGGTTCAAGTTTCAAAGTCAATTGACGAAATTGGTAAAGACGTTTAACAACAGGATGATTTTGCACAGGAATTCTCTTAGATTTCAATAGTAAATAAAACAATATGTTGTTGCAGTAACTGAAATAAATACAAAACATTATTATCATAATATTATATTTATAAATTCAATTAAAACTTACTTCAAAATTAAATTATGTTGACAGAGTACAAAATCAATTGCAGGACTATCTGGGAGTTCTCCATCTTCATGGAGCTTTTTAATGGGCACTAAATACTTTTGAAGATGCTCCATTTTATCTAACAACATAAAATATTAATCAAATAATTGAACTCAAGTATTTTAATACAAAAGCCAAAAAGAATTACTTTCAAAATCCTCAACTAAACCAGGAAACTCTGGTGATTCTTTCAAGAACAACTGTTGTTTTTGCCTTGTTGATAATTTGGATATATCTGTCTTTACATATGTTTTTTCTGGCTCATCAGGGGCATCGGTTTTCTGAAAATTAATTTAACATAATAATAATACATATATATATATATATATATATATATATATATATATAATGAGTCTATTATTACCTTATGAAAAATTTCCAAAGTAATATCATCTAAAACATCCAACTCTTTAGTTAAACGTGCTTGCATAGCTCTGGCTTCAGCTTCTTCTTGTTCAGCAATTTTTTCTTCTTGCTCGTCATTAAAACCTGCACAATATCAAAAATATAATAATTTCGAATTCACCTTGCAATTTGTAATTAAAATTTTATCATTACCTCCATAATCTTGATCGACATAGTCGGTTGAATAATAAGTGCCTTTACGTTTACCCCAGGCTCTTGCATCCGGGAGATCATCGTCTTCAGCTCCTTCGATATCACTGTCAGCAATTTTCTGATCATCTGATTCGGAACTTGAATCACTAAATGCATAAAGCTCATCCTAAGAAAAATAATATAAGGTCAGATATACAATTGATAATAGATTTTGAATTATGAAATATATTTACTTCGCTGCCTGCGTCAACTTTACGTTTATTTTTGACATTCGATAATATTTTCTGTACGCCTTCAGAATATTCTGCGTCGGAATTGGATTCGTCGTCGCTGGAGTCCGCGGTACTAAAACTAAGATTATTATTAATTTAGATCGATGTTTGTTTAAAATTGTACAGTACAGAGTATTTATATTACTTGATATTTGCACTCATTTTAATTTTGGACAATACGTATAGCAGAAAATAACGCTTCAGGAAATATAAAAAGACATTAAAATCAACTACGACGTTGTCAATTTGAGGTTATGTTTTTCTGACACGTGCTTCACAGTGTTCATTAAAATGGCGCGATTTTTGAATATTATTTTAATTTGAATCGTTCAAATTCAATTTTTTTATTTTTTATATATGAATTTATTCAGCTTTCTATTTACAAATTAAATATTTACATGATTTACATTTTTTAATTTAATATTTATAATTATATTCTAATTTTTCTAATAATTGTCTAAACTACTTAATTTAAATTAAAACTATTATATACAAATTTTACAGTCTTCTAATTGTAAGTAATAATTAATAGCTTAATATACATTGATATTTTTTAAAAAAAGTAAGCTAATAAGTATTTCAATATTGATTAAAACTAGCATCAAATTGTACACATATCATACAACCTTATTAACACAATAAAAATGTGAAACTAGCTGTAAGTGGAATTCTGTCTTGAGGCAATTATGGCATCGTGCCTTAAGGCAAATTGCTGGAACTTCCCGTACCGTAACGAAATGTTCGAGGAATACTGAATGTTTTCAAATAGATTATTATAAATATTGTAAAATTGTCTAATATTTATAAGAATTATATAAACTGAATTGCAAAGTTGAAATTATTTGTAAAGTATATTAGAACTATAATCAGAATTAAAAATAAAATTTGAATTATTTTCGATATACAAAAAATTAAAAAAAAAAAAAAGTTGAAACAAATTTTTTTTCCAAAATCAATTATTTTGTTAAGACAAGCAGAAAGTTCTTTGAATCATTTAAATCGGACGCTTAGTTCTCTTAAAAACTGCCATTTTTTACATATTTAGCTCCGTATCTTCGAAATGGCTGGGCTTGCCATTGCCAAAAACTAACAATCACTTTTCCCAATCATTACTAATTGAATATGTTTTTTAGATCATTTAAATCGGATACTCCGTTCTCTCAAAAAGTCGATTTCTATTTTCTGCACTCTTTGCTCCGTATCTCCGTAATGGCTGGACCTGCCTTTGCCAAAAACTAATCAGCACATCTCCCTATCAATAGGAATCGAATGTTTTGTGAACCATTCAAATAGGTTGATCCGTGCGCCCGAAAACGTGACTGGAAATTTGTATCCATACATACATACACACACACACACACATCCATTTTTTCTGAGGTATGCCAAAATGTTCAGAAACCTTCAAAACGTCGAGAAATGCAAAAACTTTCAATTTCGATTTTCAGCCCCTTACAATAATTTACCCTACGGTAGGTTAAAAATTACCGAAATACCGGTATTGAAATTTTCCATCGGTATGGCATTCCCTAAGTCTCATACAAAAATGATACTTTTGAATATCAAAAAAACTATAACAAAAACATATAATCTCACCTGTAATTATAATATTAAAATAAATATATGTGTCTCATTATTCTTTTATTCATTATTGATTCATTTGCATATGATTGGTCTGCAAATGCTTCTTCAAAGCCGAAGAAGAAGTATATTTATTATCACAATATTTACAAGCATAAGGTTTGATGCCACTATGAATCCAGGAATGCTGAGTCAAATGTGAATTTTGTGTAAAATCTTTTCCACAAACATTACACTGAAATTTCCTTTCGCCTGTGTGATACACCATATGCTTTCTGAGATGATCGATTGTTGTGTATCTTTTGCCACAAATATTACACAAATGAGGTTTAACTTCTGAATGCACCGTTTTTATATGTGCGTTTAAGTTAACATTTGCTGTAAACTTTTTACCACAGAATGGACATTTATGGTTTTTGGTTCCTGTGTGAGTTTTTAAATGATACTTTAAGCCTCCAATAGTTGTAAAAGTTCTATCACACAAGTTGCATTGTAGGTATTCTTCATTGTGTTTGCGTTTGTGCTTTTGCATATCCACTGATGTAAGGAAAATTTTGTTGCAAATCGAGCACATGAATCCTGGTTGTGTGATACCCATGTGAACCAGACGATGACGTTCCAAATAAATTTGCATTTGAAAAGTCTTATTGCACAGTTCGCATGGATAACTTTGATTTTCCGGTTCGTATACGTACAAAGACTCAATTTCTTGCATTGAATTTTGCGACTCCAGATTTTCTTCAAAGGATTCATTTGCAGTTGTGATGATCACGCCCATGTTTAGCATATTTTTATGTTTGGATCTGTGCTCTTCGAGCAAAGAAACTCTATTAAAACTTTCACCACAAGTGTTACAAACTAAACACATTTCGTTATGCGTATGAGCAAGATGTCTATTGAGACTATATTGTCTAGTAAACAAATCATCACATTTTGGACACCTGTAACGAGGTACATCCAACTCCTCACCCTTGGATACTTGTGCATAATCTTGTTCAGAAAATATGACATCAGATTTTTCGTACGACACACTGCCAGTATTGGAATCAACATTGATTCTAACCATACCATCACTAATTTCTGCAGAACTTTCGATAGCAGTTTTTTGCAACGTTTTGCACTCGTCTAAACTTTTAGCATCTGTATTGTGCTTAGGAATATGATCAGCAAAAGATACTTCATCGATAAATGTTATATTGCACAATTTGCATGTAAAAGCTTCACAATCATCAGTATTGGCAACTACCTCATCATTGGATTCGAGTACATCATCATTCAATAAATCACTTTGAGTTTGATTTTGGTTTTGGTTCAGACCATCTGCAGATATTACATAATCAGTTCCTTCGTATCGCAATGTATATTGTTGCTTGCTTTCATCGTAATCAACAATTTTCCCGGATGCAAATATATCATTAATGACCACATTTGTTTGTGACACATCAGGTGAATTATTTTTGAGGGTTTCCATAATATTTGTTGTATCGTCTCTGTTTATTTCGTTGACTGTATATTCACCCATATCGGTGACGGAGAAATTTGTTTCGATTTTGTTATCTGCAAAAATTTCTTGCTTCAGAACTTTAATTGAATCTGAGAATAGTAAGTTTTCTGATGAAAATCTAGTTTGATTTAAACCGTCGTCTTGAATATTTTCCGATAAGAATCCAGTTGGATTTACAACCTCATTTAGAATGTTTTGCGCTGAGAATCTAGTTGGATTTGAAACCTCCTCTTGAATTTTTCCCGACGAGTATTTTAAAACTTCATCTTGATTATTTTCTGATGAAAATCCTAGAGTTGGATTTAAACATTCTTGAATATTTTCCGGCGAGAATCCATTTGGATTTGAAACCTCCTTTTGAATATTTTCCGATGAGAATCTAATTTTCTTTTGAAGATTTTCTGATGAGAATCTAGTTGAAATCAAGCCCTCATCCTGAATATTTTCTGATAGAAATCTACTATCCTGTTGATTATTTTCTGATGGGAACCTAGTTTGTTTTGAAACCTGCTCTTGAACATGTTTTGATGAGAATCTACTTGGATTTGAAACCTCATTCTGAATATTTTCTGAGAAGAATCTAGTTTTCTTTTGCATATTTCCTGATGAGAATTTAGTTTGATTTAAACTCTCTCCCTGAATATCTGATAAAAATCTAGTTGGAATCAAACCTTTATCTTGAATATTTTCTGATGAGAGGTTACTACCCTGTTGATCATTTTCTGATGAAAATCTAGTTGAATCTGAAACCTGCTCCTGAATATGATCTGATGAAAAGATAATTTTTTTTTGAATATTTTCCGATGAGGATTTAGTCTGATTTAAACCTTGTTCTGGAATATTTTCTGAAGAAAATCTAGTTTGATTTATATCATCCTCTTGAATGTTTTTCGATGAGAATAATAATGTACTATTCTGCTGAATATGTTTTGAAAAAAATCTAGATGGATTTAAACCTTTTTGAATATTTTGTAAGCCCTTGTTTTGCATATTTTCTGTTGAACATTCAGTGGAATTTAAACCGTCTTCTTGAATATTTTCTGATGAGATTCCAGTTGGATTTACACCCTCCTCTTGAATATTTTCCGATAAGAATCTAGTTGGATTTAAACTCTTGTCTTGCATATTTTCTGTTGAGGATTCAGTTGGGTTTAAAACCTGATCTTGAACATTTTCCGATGATAATCTAGTTAGAAATAAACCTTTCCCTTGATGTCCTGATAAAAATCTGGTTTGATTTAAAACTTCTTGAATATTTTCCGATGAGAATCCAGTTGGATTCAAAACCTCCTCTTGAATACTTTCAAGTGCATCATCATTTATAGCTATATTTATAGTCCCATCATCATTCAAAGTAATATTATTCGTGTCCACATCATTTGTCAAATCAATAAATTGTGTCAAGTTATTATTACACAAAGAATTATCAAAACCCAAAGCATCAATTTCACTTTTTTCGTTAATTTCACAAATATTCAAAAACGATTTTGGCAAATTTTCCATTTTATCAACTTTCTGTTTCGCCTCGTCGTTAGATAACTTATGATACTTTGCAATATGTTTATTCAAAATTTCATGGGATAAAAAACCTAAATTTGTATTTTTGCACATTCCACAAAAATAAATATCATCAGCAACACCATGTACGATACGTTTATGTTTCAACAAAACCTTTCTCACATTGAAAGTTTTATTACAAAACGTGCAAGAATAAGGTTTTTTACCATCATGGTCTCGTTTCATGTGTGCTTTCATTGAGGCAAAATTATAAAAACCACTATTACAATAATGACAAACATAAGACTTATGAAATTTCATATGATATGTTAAATTAGATACAACACTAAAAGTTCTATCACAAATTTTGCAGGAGATTTTCTCTTCCTTGGATTTTATGTTGTGCAGTGTTTTGTGTATGGTCAAACCACGAAGGGTTTGAAAGTTTTTTTGGCAAATATTACAAGATAATTCTGGTGTTTTTCGGTGTACTAAACATTTGTGCTTTTTTAGCAATTCTTTAGTCGAATACCAGTTCAAACATTCATCACATCGATAGGTGTGTTCCAACAAATTGTGCTCGTTTAATTTATCAGAATCTGGAAATTCAATGTTACATATACTGCATAAATATTTAGCTGATGAATTGATGCCATGTACTTCGGCTAAATGCATTTGTAATTCATTTTCATAAATGAAGTAAATACTGCATATTTTGCACTGAGCTTTCAGTTCAATATTCTCCGAAATTATTTGATTTTTATCATCATTTTGCTTGGGGGCTATTTTTACTAATTTACGTACTTTACTGTTTGTTTTATTTGCTGGTTTATAACGCGTTTTTGCTTTGCGTTTTTTATAATTCAACTCTACCGTACTATTACTTTGATTTTCCATTATATCATTATTTTTTTCACTTTGTGATACCAAAGTCAATGCAGCATCAAAAGAATTTGTTTCCTCGACTGCAATATTGATAAGGTTCATAACATTGTCTTTGAATGTTTCACAATTTGCGATTTGACTTTGCTCGATATCTTCCATTGGAATTTCTGATGATTTACTAAGTAAATTATCGCGTAAGGTCTTTTCTGATTTTTCGCAATTTAATTTAAATAAATAAGCATCACTAACGCGACAAACGCACTTGAGACAGATTTGTGGTGGAAGCCCATCATTTTCCGAAATCTGGAAAAAAGGATAATAAAAAATAATGAAATGCTAGGTGCAACTGGCATTTTGTCTTAAAGCAAGTAATCGACTTAAGAATTCAATGAGAATTTAAATTTGCTAATTTTGGTAGGAATTTCAAATGTTTATTAACTTTCCGAAGGAGAAATGTTTTCACCCAAAAATCCGCTTCGCTAATTTTATGTTTTCTCGACGTTTCAAGTCATTCTGAATCGAATGAGACCGAATTTGGAAAAAGTATGTGTTCGTGAACAGATTTTTTGCCATAAATCGACGTTTTCTCAAAAACGCCTATAGCGATTTTAGAAATTTAAAAGCCATTTGATGTATCTCGATGAGGACTAGCGTTTATCAATTTCGTGCTACAATCGGCCGAGCCGTTTCTTCGCAACTGGCATAAATTTGTAAAACTTTTCGTCCACGTTTTAACTCATAATCGATTTTAATAAATCAAAAACTGTTCGGAAGATGTTGTTTGGGAATGATACTGAGCAGTTTTAGATAAAAATCTACTGGGCAGTTTCTTCGTAACTAACGGTCAAAAATAATTTCTTTGATGAAACTCTTTATATTGATAGATATTATGGTCCTTAACAATATACTAAATTTTTACGCCCTCGTAGCAAGTAGTTTAATTTTAAAAAGTCATCAAATTGTTAAAATCAATATATCAGAACCAAAAATATTTATTTTATTCACAACTCTACAAATTGAAGGAGATGAAATTAGAGCTCAAAAGTTTGTATTATATTAAAAGATATCATATTGAAATGTAAATCAAAATTAAATTAAGAATTTTTACTATTAATTCTGAACAATCAACCGACACTTTTTCAAAATTTCAATCTTAGAATCAAAACTGTTTGTGAAGGAGAGGAAATTTTTCATAAAATTTACTAAAAATGTATCAAAGAATGAATACTCAAGTTTAGAGCATTAAAGTGTTTCAAATGCATCCTCTTTAAATAGTAGAATTGAATGGATTTAAGTTCACAGCATTAAAGTTTTATCATTTGATCTTCTTTTTGTATATAAATAATAATTGTAAATCTAATTGTAAAATGAAAACATAAATAGCAATGTTAATAAACAAAAAATACATGAGCATGACACTAAAACAAGACAAAAATGTTCATCTAAAACAGGACGAAACACTGAATGAAGTGCTATAAAACTCTTCAATGGGCATAAGAGGTCACAATGACAAAAGTAAAGTACAAATTTAAATAAAGATGAAAAAATATTATGAATAAAATTGTGATGATTTGATTAGAAAATGTATAATTGAATAAAAATAATGATATGGGATATAATACAATGACATGTGAAGAAATACATAATATGTACTGGTTAAGATTTGACCAGGGCTTTTTCTATTGAACCCGAGACCCTTCTGGGTAAAGGGTATAAATGTATGAATATAATTACCGGTAACTTATAATAACAGAGAGACTAGCAAAAATAATAAAAAAATTAACTTAATAAACTAAATAGTGGTTTTATTCATATATATATATATATATATTATGGTGACAGAACAATTATAATTTACATTTATCATCATAGTGATCCTCATGAAAATGTTAATTTGTTTTTGTATCACACAATATAATAATTGTATAGTGTATTCATGGTAAAACTAGTTGATCACCTCATAAAAACTATATAAAATCATTCAAAATACCTGAATTTTGGTGCAAGACATAAGCATATCTCTGATAACAAAATTATTGTTTTGTGCTGTCTTAATAGACTCGGTTACTGAGTGCATATTATGATTCTGTGCTAAACAAGTCCTGCAAGTGTTAGAAATGTCCAAAATTATAATTTCACTCGACATCTTGAGCTAAAATTGAGTAAAAATTTGATAAATATTTTTGACAAAGTTTATTTGGTTAAGTTCTGTTTGACATTTAACTGTCAAAAGTTAAAGATGGCGTTTGAGGTTGACGGCGGCCATGACACAAATTTTGACAAGATGACAGTTGGAAGTGCTTGTCCTGTCAAATTTACTAATTAATCAAAATACAAGTGCACTATTGAAAATAAATAAAGAAAAGTTTATGTTTGGTTTTAATAAATAATATAAATTGAATAAAAATGTTTATCGTGGGGTTAACCGGTGGTATAGGCACTGGTAAAAGCACTGTAGCAAAAATATTCAAAGACAATGGAGTGCCTGTCATAGATGCCGATGTAATTGCAAGGGAAAGTATGTCCTTTACCCCAAATAACAATTAAACTTACAAATAACTAATTTCAATTATCCTTTACTAGTTGTTCAGCCAGGAAAGCCTGCCTGGAGAAAAATCCGCGCGGAATTTGGAACCGAAGTGTTTTATGATAATGGAGAAATCAATAGAGAGAGTTTAGGGAAAATTATTTTCTCAGATGTTACAAAAAGACAAATCTTGAATAAGATCACTCATCCAGAAATACATAGAAATGTTCTTAAACAGACTGCTAAATACATGTTCTTAGGGCATCCGTTTGTGGTACTGGATTTGCCTTTGCTGTTTGAAACCGGAAAGCTTCTTAGCTACATACATAAAATAATAACAGTTACATGGTAATAATTGTTAAAGGAATTGGTAGTAGTCAACTCTACAATAACACGATTTAGGTAAAACAGTCCATAGTGTCAGAGCTCTTTAACAGAACGTTAAAAATATATTGTTGAAAAACAGTTTTTTAGGTTAGTTTTAGTTGCAACTTGCCATCATATTTTTACATAACAATACAATTTATATACAATAACAAAACAATTTATTTTATTTTTATCATAACTATATGAACTCATTAATTCAATAAAAACAATAATTATGACTTTAGAGTCTATTGGTCTCCTTGAATAAATACTGTGGTTTGTACTAATTCAGAGTTTTTGGAGGGTTGACTGTACTACAAATCATCTCACAACACCAATTTTCATTTAATATGTCTAATTACCTTTATCCTCTAGTGAAGAAGATTTGCAATTAGCAAGAATTATTGGACGAAGTAATTTTTCAGAAGAAGAGGCCAAACGACGTATCGCTTCACAAATGCCTTTAGAGCAAAAATGTGAAATGTCCGATTTTGTTATAGAAAACTCTGGTAGTCAAAGTGACACTTTAGAACAAACATTAAAAGTTCTGCGAGTTTTACAAGCGAGTAAAGAACATTGGAAAATACGTGGAATAATATTAGCTACTGCAGCACTGCTCGTTTCTAGTCTTGCTTGGTTACTGAATCGAAGATTTAAAATAATTGTTTGAGTTGTAAATGATATTTATACATATGCACAAAATAGCATTTAATAATAAATATATGGATTATAATTTAAAGGCAATGTAGGTGATAGGTGACATATGATCATGTAGTCTTCTATGTGAGCTTGCTGGGGGACTTTTAATATATTTAAATAATTTTGTTGTATATAATTTGTACAGAAACTACTAAACTAGTACAATAATTATATGAAACCTTTCCATACTTTTGTTAAATAAAGTATTTATTATTTGTAAATATTACATAATACATGGAATTTATGTTTATAAAAATGTATGTCTATCTGTAACATTCCAATTGATAAATAAGCATAAATGTATATCCTCTAGGGTGGTCCTTAATATGGACATTTTCGAATTTCTTTGCTCCCAAGGGCTCAAATGCTTTCAAATTAATTAAAAAGAATCATCTGAAAGTTTTAGCTCTTAATATTAATATTTAGATAGTCCGCAATTTAATTAAAAGTTTCGTGTATTTATTATTAACATTCTTGCGCCATCTGTGTGAACTCAAATAATATGATACTTACAAATATTTATAAATCACTTAACCTCTAATTAAATCCATGTGGGCTGTTTACCGAAAATATATTTATTCATCATAAATATATTTATTCATCATGGCATCAAAATTAATTTTGCAGCAAAATATTTATTTAATTGGAGATTTTGACACTTAAATTATCAGTAGCAAATAGCCATCATTAGTACAAGTCTGCTATCACAGATGGCGCAATAATTTACTTAATGACTTATGTTAATAATAAATATACGAAACTTTTAATTAAATTGCGGACTATCTAAATGTTAATATTAAGAGCTGAAACTTTTATAGAATTCTTTTTTATCATTTTGGAAGCATTTGAGCCTTTGGGAGCGAAGAAATTCGAAAATATCCAAAATGTACATGGAACCACGTGGTAGGGGACTACATTTTACATATAATAATCAATTCTCACCCTCTTACCATAAAACCCTATTTTGTGAAAATTATTATAGTAATTGCATCTTTTTTCAAAAAAAAAATTTACAAGAGATATCAATTTTTGCTAAAAATAATCTTACAAGAGATAAATTTTATTTGATACTTTTTTTTATTTGCTCTGAATAAAAAAAAATCTAGTGTATGGCATCGTGCCTTAAGGCAAATTGCTGGTACTTCCGTAATGAAATATGGGAGAAATTTTAAACGTTTTCAAATATATTATTACAAATACTAATGTAACTTTCATTATTTTTGCTATCTTTCTATTGTTATATCTGAGCAAATCAAATGTAAATCCTAAATAAATCAATTTATCTTCAGAACATTAACAATCGTCATTTTATTTCGAATTCAATTTAAAAAAAAAAAGTTGCCAAATTTGCACAAAATTGAAAAAGTGCTCCCGTATAGTCACAGTCTAAACGCATTTGCAAACAATTCTGTGCGACATTTTCAATTATACCGTGCTTAGCTTGGTGGCATTTTCACATTTTTCAATAGTTTTCACAAAATTGGAAAAGTGCTCCAGTACACTAACAGTCTAAGGGCACTTGAGTAAACATTTGTACCAGAATGGCGCTTAGACTGTGCTTTGCCTGGGTCATTTTTTCAATTTTTAATCCAAAATTACAAAAATATTTTTTGAAAAAAAAAATAGAAACAAAATTTAGAAACCAATTATTTTGTTGAAACAAGCAGAAAGTTCTTTGAATCATTTAAATCGGCTCAAATCATAGTTCTCTCAAAAACTGCCATTTTTTACACATTTAGCTCCGTATTTTTGAAATGGCTGGGCCTGCCTTTGCCAAAAACTAATAATCACTTCTCCCAATCATTACTAATTGAATGTTTTTTAGATCATTCAAATCGGATACTCCGTTCTCTCAAAAACTCTATTTCTATTTTCTGCACTCTTTGCTCTTTATATCCGAAATGGCTGGACCTGCCTTTGCCAAAAACTAATCAGCTCATCTCCCTATCAATAGAAATCGAATGATTTTTGAACCATTCAAATCGGTTGATTTGTGCGCCCGAAAACGTGACTGGAAATTTGTATCCATACATACATACATACACACACATCCATTTTTTGTGAGGTATGCCAAAATATTCAGAAACCTTCAAAACGTCGAGAAATGCAAAAATTTTCAATTTCGATTTTCGGCCCATTACAATAACTTACCCTACGGGAAGTTAATAAAATAATTTTTTTCCCCAAAGGAATCGTTTCATCAACACAAGCAGAAAGTTTTTTGAATCATTCAAATCGGATGCTTAGTTCTCTCAAAAACTGCATTTTTTGCACATTTAGCTCGGTTAACAGAATCGCATTTTTGTTTAGATTTTTGTATAAGTAACACAACATCACGTTATTGTATATATCTTTATATATTTTACTACTAAATAAGTTACAGGTCAACAAAACTTATAATTAGATTTATAAAATTTCTAAATTAAATATCAATACTACAATAAGATTTATTTAGCGTACGTAATGAAATATTTCAATCATTTCATTTTACAATATATCGAAAATTACAAACTAATGGCTTTATTTGGTATATGAAAATATATATTCACGCTTAATCAGTACTTAGTAAAACATGAATTGACGGAAGAAAGGCATTCTTACTTTAGGTCGTTGAGGTAACATTACCTAAAATAAAAGCAATATACATTAAAATCTTAAATCATTACATTGTATAACTAATTATCATTTACCTTATCGACTCTATGTATGACTCCATTAATATTCATTACATCACATTGGGCGACAGTTGTGGTTCCAATATACACTTCATCGGTATTTGGATCACGATTGATATTTAATGGCCTTGTCAAAGATCGGACAGATTCCAAGAATGGCCATACGTTATGGCCAATTCCGGTGCAGCATAAAATCTCTGTGAAAAAAGTAGTTGTAAGTGACATTTTGCCTTGTATGAACTTCTCTACATGTGTAAAAAATTGATTTAATAAATATATATAACTAGCAAACCCGACGAACTCCGTTTCGCCACCAGATGCTTTCGTGAGAAAGATGAAGAAATTTTTTGTTTGTTTTATATTTGAAAAGGAAAAATATGATTTTATTGCACAACAGTAATGAATTTATTTCGATTACAAAAATGAAGTGTTTTTTAGTTGAACTTCTCTAAGTAAATGAAAGTGAATCCGCAAATTATCCGTTTTATAGAAGTGCTCTTTGGTAAACCACATTTTTTGTTTTTTGGTCTGACGTTGAGACAAACAAAGCGGATGGTTTTCCAACTCGTGAACAGGCAACGTATAACTGCCCATGTGAAAAACAATGATTTTCTAAATAATCTATTTGAAATTTATCCCGCAAACACTAAGCGATTGGCCTTGAGACTTGTTATTGCGAACTGGAAATTGCAATCGTTTGAAGTCAAACGGATGACCAGTCGGAATCATTGGTATGTCACCAAAACGCCAGCAATTTTTGATTGAATGGTGAAATTCATTGCGTGTACATCATTATTCTTTGCGGCAAGAATTGCTCGTCGACTTAATTGCAAGCATAATTCTGATAATTCTCACTAATGTCATTACTCGAATTTTTTAATTACGGTGCGTGAAGTTCCAGCAATTTGCATTAAGACACGATGCCATGCACCACTAATTTTCTTAGCTATAAACCTTGTGGAGCTCGAGGCCTTTCCAACAAATGCAAAATTGGCGAAATCGGTTCGTACGTTCTGGAGTTATTTCGTCAGGAAGGAAAACCCGACTTCTTTTTATATATATATATATATAGAAGATATATATATATATATATATATATATATATATACATTTTATTAACATTACTATTACAAATGTGATATAACGTTAATTATATGTATATATTTTAACGTATTTGTTAAGTAACTATATTTCAAAAGTATCTGAAACTTTACTTTTATTAATATTTATGTTTTCTTAAAATATACTTTGTGCATTTTTAAAAACAATTCTTAGCATTTAATTGGGTTTTTAATAATTGAATGCTTGTTTTTTTAAAATTTCGGTATAATGTTTACCAAAGTATTATATAACTAGTGGCGCATGGCATCGTACCTTAAGGCAAATTGCTGAAACTTCCTTTATCTAAAATTAAAATGTTTAAAAAAGCTTTATAATTTTTTGAGAATTTAAAAAATTAAATTTTTGGGAATTTTGAATTCTATGAAAAAAATGATTTTTATGAAATATATGATTTTATTAATATTTTTTTAAAGCAATCACGCTGTTTAGCTGAGTAGAGATAAAATATCATTAAGGAAAATTGCTGGAACTTTCCGTACCGAAAATTAAAATGTGTAAGAAAACTTTTAAAATTTTTAAAACTTTAAAAAGAAAGTCTGAAAAATTAAATTTTTGCAAACATTTGAAAAAAAATTAGTTTTTTTGAAATATTTGATTTTTTTATATTTTAAGATTTTTAGGAAATTTCGAACTTTTTTAAAGCAATCACGCTGTTTAGCCGAGTAGAGGCGAAATATCAAAGCGCGTAAGCGCCGCGTCGCTTTGGTTGCGGAACTCAAATATATAAATAAAATTTATACTCATTAGTAAAATCTCTATAAAATATCTGATAATTTACTTTTTTATTCCTGCCCTGTGTTTACTTTTTTATTCGATCTCCGAAACCTCTAGACCTACCTTCCCAAAATTTCAACCAAGAAAATAAAATGTTTTTTGAATTATTAAAATCGATCGCTCAGTAAAAAAAACTAAGTTACCGCTTTTTGCACTTTTTGTCCCGTAATTCTGAAACGGTTGGACCTGTCTGTGCCAAAAACGAATCAACACGTCTTCTTATCAATAGGAATCGAATGTTATTTGAATTATTCAAATCGTTTCATCCGTGTTCACGAAATCGTCAACGAAAATTTGTATCCGCACACACATACGTACACACATACATCAATTTTTTCTAAGGTATGCCAAAACATTCAGAAACCTCTGAAACGTAAAGATATATAAAAATTTTCATTTATGATTTTTTGCGATTACTATAACTTGCCCTACGGGAAGTTAATTATGCATTTTTGCGATTATTATAACTTACCATACGGCAAGTTAAAAATTAATTTCAATGACTTTTTTTACCTGGAAGTACATGCATTTTCAATGTCTCACTGGCGGCTTCTTTATCCTCCAACAATACATTAAGATCTTCTTCAGTCAATGATTCAAAGACTTCATCATTGGGAGCCAAAAGTGTAATACTGTCATTGGCGTCTTTGAAAATCTGTTCTAATTCTGTGCCGGTGGCAATTTTTGCCAAAATACTGTATTGGGGATCGGAGTTGATTGCCTCCCAAATAGTCTGAAGAAAAAATCACAATGCAATCAGAATATTATTTTAGACATTAAAATAAATAATAATAAACTAGAAACATTTATTATTTACCTGATTTGGTGGAGATAAAGGACGGTCGACCTCGTGAACGGTTCCTTCGCAAGATTTCAAATCGTGACGAAGAATTCGGGCGCAGTTTGCTGTAGCACGGTTGTAGGTGTGTCTGAACATTGGCAACTAGGATAAAAAATATTCATATAAAAATATATTATACTAGGGTTTGTCGGTTTTCAAAAACCGGTTTCAAAAACCGTTTTTTTTTGGCGAAAATTATGGAATTCGAAAACCGGTTTTTTAGTGAAAAAAGTCGGTTTTTACTGTATAAACGGAATATAACAAATATAGTCAAATATAAAAGATAGATGAAAGCGTTTTGATTCTTAAAATCATATCGGTTCAATAGCATTTGAAATCTTATCAATCTGCAATGGTTCCCAGAAAGGTTTTGTAAATATTAATTAAGATTTTTATACCAGAGTATAAATTAATTTAAGGCGCACAACTAGTGTGAAATTTTCAAAAAATCGAATTTTCAATTTTTCCATATTTCGGTAGGTTATACTTTTAAAAATAACATACCAAAATTTTAAATCGATATCTTAAATAGTTTTTGAGTCACGGCCATTTAAAGAGTATATATATATAGTATATAGTATAACGATCATTTTATCTTTTACGCGTTTTTCTCGAAACAGCATTTTCCGAATTTGCTGCAGCGATTACTCAAAAACAAATGATCCGATCACTATCGATTTTATTTTACATGTTCTATATATAGTTCTCCGTAAAATGAACTATCGATTTTTTGATCGGATCAAAAATCGAATTTTGGCAGTCCAAAAACGACCAAAATCTTGGGTAAAATTCGACTTTTTTTTAAAAAACGCCGTCATTTTGTCAATTTTTGATTTTTTTTCTTTATCGTAGTTCATTTTACAGACGACATTATCTAGTTTAACGAATTTTTTTTTTTTAAATTTCATCCACGGAATCACTGCAGCAGTGAAGGGCCTTTTTTGTCGCGCTTATAAATATATTCCTAAAATTTTGAAATTATTGATAAAATAGTTTTTTTAATATAAATTAACAAAATCACCTTTTTTAGGCGGTTACAATAGTTGTGTCACTTAAATCAGTGTGACTTTTCCTTGAAGTAACTTCTTCTACTCAAACTTTAAAAAAATTTTAAACCATAGAAGCCTAGAATTTTAAACCCTAGAAAACTTAGAATTATTATATCAGGTTTTAAAAACAATTAAGCATAATTTGGTCGCCAGTATGAGAGTATTTTCCATTTCAGGAAATTGTGTGAGCAAACAAAGGACACATCTAAGTAACAAATCGATAGACGTCCTCAGTTTTTTTTAAATCATATTTCATTAAACAAAAAACAATTAGAATGTTTAAAAGTGATTAATTAAAATTAGCTTAATTGTTTTTAAAACTAAAATTGATATTAACACACATATGTATCAACATGCATCTAATGTTTTTTATTTTATTTTTTAATTTAATGGATGTTTTTTTTATTTAAAAATGTATTATTTTTATTTATTCGAAAACTTTCCATTCACTATGCATGAATAACGAATAATTATTTTCAAAGTTATTTAATCCAGATAAACTATTATTTTTTAGTTCTACTAATTAAAATTAAAATAATTTTGTTTACTATTTATAAAATTGAACAAAAAATAAATTCAGTCAAATACTGCTCAAAGTCACACTAAATTTGCGGATAAATTACAGAATATTCGAGCAAAAATTTATTTTCTATAAAAAATGCGAAAACCGGTTAAAACCGGTTTTTTAGTAAAATTAAAATTCGAAAACCGGTTTTCTGAAATGTCGGTTTTTGTATAAACCCTAATTATACTGATACTGATTAAAGCATTAGATCTATTACTATTGATTCTTACCGTGCTGTACAAGTTAATCCTTAATTTGTCTCCATTCTTGCTGGCCGTGGGCAAATCCTCCTCGTCCTTCATATCGCAAGATGGCATTTTTCTGGTGACGACGTGATAACGTAAGAATTCTGCAGCCTTTTCTTTATCTTTCAACATTTCGTCGAAGGTAGATTTGAAGTCTTCGCTTTCCAAGGCACTATCAGCCACGGCAAAGACTGTTGCATTATTTAAACCAGCAAAGAAATCGCGCATGCCTGCTGATTCAATCAGCTCCAAGAAACGGGTGAAATTTTGCTTTTCTAGCTGGTTGTCGATGGAACGAGCTGGGATAAAAATTATTTATGAAAATATAATACTATTCATCACTTATCTATTTTTGAAGTAAAACTTCTTTAGGCGCGATATGGGTGTAAATCCGTACAAATGTAACGTAAATAGTTAGCGCAGCTATCGCAATTATTCGATCTAGTCTGCGAGGAAAACAAAAAATACATCAAATGTCAAATCATATGTCAAAAACAAAACAAAATGTGTCGACTTTCACTTGAATTTTGTATTTAGCTCGTAGTCTCTAAACATTTTTTGAAGTAAAACTTCTTTAGGCGCGACATGGGTTAGCAGTATAATTCGTGAGTTAATAGGTTGCATGTCAAATTTGTCGAAAGGTATTAAATTCGGGTAAAATTCCCACTTTGTGTGAATTTAACGGGTTTGTATTTCCACCTATACCAAATTATCCACCTAAACTAGATACTGTATCTGAAAGATTAATTTCACCTAGGTTGTGTTTCATGCAAATTAGACGATTGCAACATGCAAATGGACAATTTGGAATATTTGGCCAAATTATAATTGTGCCTGTTGACGTTGATAATATGGTTAATTTATTACCTCGTAATATTGATGATGATCTTTGCATTAACGTTCACATAAAAAAGAAAATGATTCATAGATCATGCTATGTGCAGGGCTTGATAAATAAAACAAATATAAAAGTATGGCTTCAATTTTTTAGGCAAGACAGATATTACAGCTGTTCAAGGAATGAGATTATATCGTCAGCGAAAAAGTAAAAAAATACAAACAGTAAATGAATGTATGTTAATTTTAATTACATGAAGTTCTTTAAACACAATTGGTACAGAATGAGTTAATTTGCAAAAACAATTTGTTTAGGCGTTGTTTAACATGATCCACTGTGTGAACGAATATTACAGAATTTATTAATCAGCAATTACTTTAAACCGATCATGTCATATTTCAAGTATGACCTTGATTACATTATTGTTTGTAAATATTATACATATTTTTAATGCAATCATAAATATATAATTTATAATTTATCATTATATAAATGCGTATAATGGTCGACACTAATAAATGTGTGCATCACGAGTGTTACCATATTACTAATAAACATTATTCAAAATTGTTATATGATGTATTCATTTTTACTTAACTTAAATTTTATACTTTGTACAGTAGCAAGTAAGTTTTACTTCAATCGCGTGTGATCCTTATGCGCACTCTTTTCATTTACCTGATTCAGGGACCATAACTTTATCCAAAACATGAATAACTCCGTTTTTGGCGACGATATCAGATTTCTCGATAGCTGCATCATCGTTGACACGAATTACTCTTGCAGAATCGCGATTTTTGCGTTGGACAGTATTGCCTTCGGGTTCCATACTTGTCGACTTCAAAGTCATAACATCCTTAGCCATATTGTGGGTGCTTACGACTTGCCCGGACCTCGGCACCGCTGCGGAGCAGAGAGTATGGGGCAGGATGTGGTTCTTGAGGATATCTGGAGAAAAAAATTAGATAAATACAAATATATTTTGTATGTCTTCTATGTGTTCAATTTTGCTTACTCATTGTGCAAGAGTCTCCATTGACGATTTTCATCCTGATACCGGCATCAAGGCTTTCAAAGGCTCTATCAGTTGGTGCAAAAACAGTGAAGGAACTTGCATCACCATCCTGATCAACATCGGACATAAGGGCCTCGTGCAGACCAGTTTTGCGTAAAGCCATTGCGAAAATGGTGAACTCGCCTAGAATTAAACAAATGTACCAGTATATAAAAAAATAATTAAATAAAATCGAAAACTAAACGAACTAGTGGTGTATGGCATCGTGCCTTAAGGCAAATTGCTGGAACTTGCCGTACCGTAATGAAATATTCCAGAAATTTTAAAAGTTTTCAAATATATTATTACAAATACTGCAACTTTCATTATTTTTGCTATCTTGTTATAACTGAGCAAATCAAATGTAAATCATAAATCATAAATCAATTTATCTCCAGAACATTAACAATCGTCATTTCATTTCGAATTCAATTTCAAAAAACGACAGTTGCCTAATTTACACAAAATTGAAAAAGTGCTCCCGTATAGTCACAGTCTAAACGAATTTGCAAATAATTCGGTGCGACATTTTCACTTATACTATGCTTAGCTTGGCGGCATTTTCGCATTTTTCAATAGTTTTCACAAAATTGGAAAGTGCTCCAGTACATAAACAGTCTAAACGCACTTGGGTAAACATTTGTACCAGAGTGGTAATTAGACTGTGCTTAGCCTGGGTATTTTTTAACTTCCCGAAGGAGAAGTTTATGTTTTCATCAGAAAATCCGATTCGCTAATTTTATGTTTTCTCGACGTTTCAAGCCATTCTGAATCGAACGAGACCAAATTTGGAAAAAGTATATATGTGTGTGTGTGTGTGTGAACACATTTTTTGCCGTAAATCGACGTTTTCTCAAAAACGGTTGGACCGATTTCGAAATTTTAAAAGCCATTCGACGTATTTCGATGAGGACTAGCGTTTGTTTCTCAGTTTTGTGCGACGATCTTCCAAGCCGTTTCTTTGTAATTTGAAAAAAAAGTGCTCATCCTACCGAACCGATTTTAAAAAATAAAAAACTGTTCGAAAGATATTAATTGGGCATGATACTGATTAGTTTTAGGTGAAAATATACCGAGCCGTTTTCTTGTAATTAACTGTTGAGAAAAATGTAAGCCGATTTTTATTGATTTTTTTAGCGATATATATCATGGTCTTATAGAACTTACTTTAATATTACGGCCTTACGACAAGTAGTTTAATTTTAAAAATTCATCAAAGTTTGAGAAAATGAGTAGTTTTTTTTTTAACGTTAGCTTAAATTAAAATTAGACGATTTACTTGGTATAATAATTTAGTATTTGCTCTTAATAAACATACTAAACCATTAAAGTCCTACGAAAACTGGTTCAAATATAATACATAATTGTTGATTTTTGAAAAGTTGCTTGTTGAAAATACTCCGAGTAAACGTGTTCGTTCGTTTTCAGTTATGTGTAATAATTCCACTCATAAATTGATTTATTTTTTATTGATTAAGTCGATTATTTACACATATCGAGAAGTTCATGTAACTTGCCTCAAGACTAAATACCAATACCAACTAGTTGAGATATTGCTGGTGCATGGATTTTTATGCCACTTACCATGTTGTTCTAGCAATTGGAAAATATTCTCCGAAGCTGGCATCAAGATACCATCAAGGCCATGTACAAGTCCTTCCTTGGTGGTGAGAAGATTTCCTTTGGTGATTGGAGCACAATTGGCAGTGACCACACGTTGGGTTAAAAGGGAATCGTCTTGGGATTCGCCTGAGATTTCCTCTTCGTCAGAGTTGGATGCCGGTGGACGAGGGTAGATGTTGATACGAATCGTGTTGTTTTCGTTGTCACTAAAAGGAGCAAATATTGATGATGGTGTACTAATGAGGATGTAAGAGTTATTTTCTTACCTTTCCAAGATTTGTTCATTGGTGAGCTCATTCAAGTCGTACAAGTTAGGAATGATGTGACCTAGAACTAGCGCTTTTGGTGGCACGTTGTCGATTTGGCGTTTTCTACGCTGGGCATTAGGTTCTGGTAGAAGGCGAACATCGAAGTCAACTTGGTTCTACAAACAAATAAAATAAATTAAGTTAAATACTCGAGGATCTTTCAATGCACTTGGAAGAAAAAAAGTTTGATGTGTTATTTAAACTTAATAAAGTATTTCTTATTGCAAAAATGTTTTCAATAACTGAATGCCTTGACCTTCAAATTTATTTTTAGCAGCCGAAAGAAAAAATTGTATTTGTTCATATTAGTCGTTAACAAGGGATCGTAAGTGCTGAAAAGTACTTTTAAGTAAAAAATTTAATTAACTAAACTTTATATATATACTAGCAGACCCGGCAAACGTTGTTTTGCTAAGTAAGGAATATTCTAAACAATTTCTAGAGAATCAAAAATATTAATACTTCAAGTGTATAAGGATGTGTTGTTTAAATGCTACATACAATGAGGTGTTATAAAAACACTAAACTCCATTAGTTAGTCTATATTTTGTCAATACAATCAAACTGTAAGTTTTATACACTTTCTATAGAAAACATATGGTATAATCCAATCCAAGTATATTTTTGTTCTTTCGACTTATTGATTACGTTTCAAGTCTTTCAGATCCTTTTTGGATTCTGGATTTTGTGTATAATTGTAAATAATACTACTGAGCTTATAAAAAAAAAGTTTCAAGTAACTTTCGATAAATTAAAGTAAATTTAATAAAAAGTATATATGTAGAGCAGGGCGAAGCACAAAGGTCCAAATTGACTTTGAGCAATTATAAAGTATATTGTGAAAACCATAACAATTATATCACAACAAACAACACATTTCAAACAAACAATTATCTGACTACGTTCAGTAAACTGCTTTCTACTTCATCATTGTAGAAATGTGCTTTTTTGATGTCTTTCAAAAATTTGTTATCTAGACCTTTTTACCCTTTAGTGGCAAATAAGTTTGATGTCTTATTTTAATTTTAAAGGTATTTTACAAAATAATTACATTTTTAACTAATGCTAAAAAACTACGAACGGAAGAAAATACTTTTAATATGGATTTTCAAAGATTACCGTTTTCAAATCAAGGTTATAGCTGGTTATACATCTTTTTTCCTCTACTTTCAAATATTGTTGTTGAACAATGCTTAACTTTACTGATTTTTGACACATCGGTGGTGGACCTTTTTAACCCCGGATCTTCATAGATCACTATCTATTCTTCGATAAATTCTGGAAAATTATAACTGGGAAAATGTTATTCGACAAAACGTCCATTTGATTGATACCAAATTTAGGTTCTGAATTTAGATAACATAAACAAAAAATAATATGACCTAGAAAATGAGTATATAATTTTACAAATGAGATTTGTGTGCACCGTGCTTGAAAAAAATATGCCAAAAAGTGCATTTTCATATTAACATTTCCAAAAAGTTGTGATTTTGAGTCTCAAGTAACACTTGCGGCCCGTTTACTAACGTTTTTGTATATAAATAAAACTTATTACTACAATTTAATCATAACGTAATTGAACATCATCGGTCAAAAACGTTTGACATTTCACGTATTAGCCACCGTCCATTGTTTTATTTAAATTACGCTTCTACAAAAAATTTCAAATTAAAAATGTAAAGTTTCTACGCGATTTTGAAATATTATCTCATCTTTCCGATCATCTGTGGGTTTGCATGAATTTTTCAAGACTAAGACTGGCCAAATCGGTTTAGCCGAATTCGAGTTTTACCGAATCATTTGATCGAGAGCTACATTTTTATATATAAGATATATAAGAAAAACTGTCATAATATATATATATATATATATATATATATATATATATATATATATATATATATATATGATGATAGTTTTTTCGACGTTGATACATATTTGTAATATTTTTGCAACCCAACCATCGAATTAAATTTTTTTTTAATTCGACGATTGGGCTGCAAAAATATTGCAAATATATATTCCATCCATTTTTTCTAATGTAAAGATATATAAAAATTACTATAGCGTACCCTACGGGAAATTAACGAGTGATTAGAGACGAACGTTTCTTGTTTTATATGTGATACTTGTTGTGATGTATTTGGTTTAGTTTTCACAATACAATTGGTCTTACCCAATATCAATTTTAACAATTATCTTATATCTTTTATCTTTTATCTTTGATCTTACATTCTGTGTCATCTTCTCGTAATCGCGCATGGCCTCGTCGCTCGGCACGAACAGGGTGATGTTCTCCTGGTCGACCCTGTCCTCGAGATCGGCCTCCCTGACCAGAGTGGCGAATTCTGCCGCGCCGAGATCCTTCTCGACGATCTCCATGACCGGTTTCATGTCGACTTTCTCGCACAGAGCGACTTTGCCGCCTTTCACCGCCGCCGACGACGACGACGACGATATCGCCGACGGGTTGCGCCGGTAGCCGTGGCAGCATTTGTAGGTTACCGTGAAGGCGCTGCTTTTGCCGTTCGAATGCTTCCTGGGAGAGGAAAAATGGAAAGATTCTCATTAGTATATTAAACTGATTTATGTTTTTAACATCCCGAAGGAGACGTTTATGTTTTCGACAAAAAATCCGATTTGCTAATTTTATGTTTTTTTCTGAATCGAATGAGACCAAATTTGAAAAAAGTATGTGTGTGTATGTGTGAACAGATTTTTTGCGATCGACGTTTTCTCGAAAACGGCTTCAAATCAACGTTTTGAATTCAATTCAATGTATCTCGATGAGGACTATTGTTTGTCAGTTTTGTGCGACGATCGACCAAGCCGTTTCCTTATAAATAGCAGAAAAGTGAAAAATTTTTCGTCTACGTTTTAGCCCGCAATTCTGAATCGATTTTGAAAATTCGAAAACCGTTCGGAAAATATTGGTTGAAAATCGTGCCGATTAGTTTTTGATAAAGACCGGCCAGGCCGTTTTCTTGCAATAAAGTATTGAAATTTTTTTTTCGACGATTGTTATTATTATCTTTTTGACGATAGATACTATAGTCTTCTAGATCATACTAAAATATTACCGCCCTACGACAACTGGTTTAGCTTTAAAAATTCGTCAAAGTTTGCAAAAATTAGTATGGTCTTTTTGGCATTTGTCAAAATTAGAACTTTCATAGACGTTTGCTCAAAAACGCCTGAACCGATTTCAGAAATTTAAAAACCATTTGATGTGTCTCAATAAGGACTATCGCTTGTCAGTTTTGTGCGACCAGCGGTCGAGCCGTTTCTTTGTAATTTGTAAAAAGTGTTAAATTGTTCGTCCACATTTAAGGTCATACTATCAAATCGATTTTAAAAAATCAAAAACTGTTCGAAAAATATTGGTTGGGATTGATACAGATTAGTTTTAGGTAAAAAATTGCTGAGTCGTTTTCTTGAAATTAACAGTTGAAAAAATTTTTTTTGCCGATTTTTATGATTTTTTTGACGATAGATACCATAGTCTTATAGATCATACTAAAATGTTACGGCCCTAGTAGTTTAATTTAAAAAAATCATCAAAGTTTGAAGAAAATATTATAGTCAAAAGTGTTAAAAGTTGCTTTTGTGATGTGACAAGTCAAACATTGTCAATTCAATAAAATTTTGAATAATAAGCTACAATTTTAGAACATATAAACACGTGTTTGTGCAATATAATTACAGTTAATTTAAATGTGCTTGAGAAAGTTCAATTCAAAATCGCAATATTTAGATTTAATTGAAAGCGCAAACTTGAACTTCGAAATAAACAATTAAACATCTAAATATCTAAATCTCAATTTCCGTTTATTAAGTAAATTATTAATATTACACATTTTGAGAAATTCGTGCAACTTGTCTTAAGGCAAAATGCCACTTTCAACTAGTTGGATATCTATAATATTTTAGTATGTTATTTGAGACTAAAAAAATCTGTGTGCAAACTTTCATCAGAATAATTCAAATTTCTTCGTATATTTGATATAAAATCCAAGAACTAAAAAGAATTAACTAAACAGAAGTTAAATTTAAAATAATTTTCAATATTTATATCATACGTAATTCATAGTATATTATCAACAATTGTAATCTAATGTATAAAAATTTATAAAGTATTAAAAAGTAGATTTTATAAAAGCTAAAGCTAAAGATATGTATAAACCTATAATTGGCAGATGCACTTAAAAGCAATTTCAAGACAAAATATTTACAAAATTCCGAGAACGACATAATTTGGATTTTATGAAATTAATAATAATAATTTTGATTAAAAATATCTTTAGAATTTCAAGAATCAAAACGCTTTCATCTATCTTTTATATTTGGCTATATTTGTCATTTTCCATTTATACAGTGAAAACAGACTTTTTTCACTAAAAAACCGGTTTTTCAATTCCATAATTTTCGCCAAAAAACCGGTTTTTAAAACCGGTTTTTGAAAACCGACAAATTCTAGTCATATGAATATAATGAACTGCCTATCGATATCAAGATTACCAGTAATGACAATAACTTCAAATGGAAAATAAAGAAATATTATAAAGAAATTCAAGACAAAAGAGATTTAAGAGATATTTATAGATATTTAAATATAAGGTAGAATGAAATAGACATGAATAATATGTATACATAAAATATCAAAATTGTTTCGTAATCTCTTACACCAGGCACTAATGTCTGACTGAGATATGAAAATAATATATCAACATAAAAAAAATCACTATAACGTAAATATTAAAAATAATAATAAAGCGAGGAATAAAAAATAATTTATGGCCTTGCCTTCGGGTAGAGCACTAACTAATATACGAGTATTAACTAATTTTTTTACCTCTTGGTGCAGGTGTACATATTGTTAGTTTCGCTGCAAGATTCGAAACTGGCATCTCCATTGAAAACGATGATTCCAGAACCATGATGCATTTGTCTGACAGTTTCTTCATTTTCTTCATCACTTTCTTTTTCTTCTTCATCCACAATTTGTTTGCGTTCTACGCACACATTAGGCCTGAAGAGGAAAAAAATAATTATAAATAATAATTTAACCAGAATACAAAATTATATGAAGTATGAACAATCTAGAAGTTAGAGTTGGGGTATATGAAATTTTTGATTTTATCCCATAATAATAGCTAGATTATTAAAAACTTTATCATCACATTTATATTATATAACTCTCTTGTTAAATTCGTTGTTTATTTCCACCTAAATAAACTTTTTTTTAATTCATATCCTTTTGCTTTTTATTTCAATTAAAGATATATAATAAATTCATACGTTTAATATATAGTATGATATATTAAAGAGGCTTAAGAACAAAAGCATTTCCGCTTGTATTGTGAAAAACCTAGACCAATTTATTTTCCAGACAAGATCTGCTAGTTTGCATGATATCAATGCAGTTTTTGTCCAAACAACTATCACTGTCAATAGTCAAGAAACTTGTTCTTATTTCATATCTATTACAACTTTGTTAGTCATAGCTGTACTTTCAATAATAATACTGAGTTTTTAATTATTTTAAATGAATTTTCAAAATTATTCATTTACGATTATTCATTTCACGATTCTCACCATACATATTTAATACGTAGAATTTTTTACAATAGAGAAACAAGTCATTAATGTATTAACTTATTATCATAGTTTAAAATCTTATTTGTTAATGGATATTGCTTTTTTATTTAAATTCTAAACGGTGTAATTTGCGCCAATTAATATTTTCATGGCATCGTGGTCATCCAGGCCAGGACAAAAAATTGAACATTGGGATAGAAAAAATAGGATCTATAAATTAATAACATTTTTAACTTCCCGTAGGGTATGTTATTGTAATCGCCCAAAAATCGAAATTCCTCATACCTCAGAAAAAATGGACGCGCGTGTGTGTGTATGTATGGATACAAATTTCCAGTCACGTTTTCGGGCGCACGGATCAACCGATTTGAATGGTTCAAAAAACATTCGATTCCTATTGATAGGGAAATGTGCTGATTAGTTTTAGGCAAAGGCCGGTCCAGTTATTTCGGAGATAAAGAGCAAAGAGTGCAGAAAATGAAAATCGAGTTTTGGAGAGAACGGAGCATCCGATTTGAATGATCTATAAGACATTGGGAGAAGTGGTTATTAGTTTTTGGCAAAGGCAGGACCAGCCATTCCAAAGATACGGAGCTAAATGTGCAAAAAATGGCAGTTTTTGAGAGAACTAAGAGTCCGGTTTAAATGATCCAAAGAACTTTCTGCTTGCCTTAACAAAATAATTGATTTTGGAAAACAAAATTTTTGTTTAAACTATTTTTAAAATTTTTTTTTTCAAAAAAAAAAATTTTTTGTATATCGAAATTAATTCAGATTATATTTTTAATTCTGACTAAAGTTCTAATATACTTTAAACAAATAATTTCAACTTTGCAATTCAGTTTATATAATTTTTATAAATATTAGACAATGTTACAATATTAATAATAATCTATTTGAAAACATTTTATATTCCTCGAACATTTCGTTACGGTACGGAAAGTTCCAGCAATTTGCCTTAAGGCACGATGCCATACACCTCACTAGTTTCTTTTACTCACTTTTTAATTGAAAGTTATTTGAAGAAAAGTAAAAAATTTTCCAAATCTATGCAATGCAAGTTATCTAAATGCAATCGCAATGCAAAATACTAAACTGCAAATTATTAAAAATTTCAATATGCAAGTTTATATAAAAGTTTATGCTAAATTTTAGTAAATTTAATTTAGTTTTTACGAATGTAAATTAGTTCTAATGCCCTAAATAAAAATTAATAGTTATTTGAAGAAAATAAGAAAAGTCAAAACACGTCTTAAATTCGCATGTTGCTAGTTAGCAACGTACTAAATATACTAAATACTTAAATGACAAAAAACTAAATCTAACAAAAACTACCACCTAATTCTTTCAATATCATTTGTAAACCGATTTTAAAGTTAGTAACATTCAAATTGGTAAAAATACCCTTACCAGTCTTCGAGCGGGTATTTTTACCAGCCCCGCGAAGTATGAAGTACTTATTTAAATTGTTGATACTGTCAACGACTGAAAACTAACCTCCAACAACAAAAAATGTCAAAATGACATATTGATTTGACTTCCCGCATATTTATTTACAAGTGCTCAACTCATCAGTACCTATTATTTTGGACTGCTTGATAATATCTCCATGTCGCCATAATAACACAAAACATGTAACCGAACTATATACTAGGCATTATACAAAAACCGACATTTCAGAAAACCGGTTTTCGAATTTTAATTTCACTAAAAAACCGGTTTTAACCGGTTTTCGAATTTTATATAAAATATAAATATTTGCTCGAATATACTGTAATTTATCCGCTAATTTAGTGTAATTTAGAGCAGTATTTGAATGAATTTAATTATTGTTCAATTTTATGGATAGTAAATAAAATTATTTTAATTTTAATTAGCAGAACTAAAAATAATAGTTTATCTTGATTAGATAACTTTGAAAATAATTATTCGTTATTCATGCATCATTTTCACATATAAGAATGAAAATAATTTTATGATAGTGAAAGGAAAGTTTTCGAATAAATAAAAATAATACATTTTTAAATAAAAAAATTCATTAAATAAAAAAAAAATAAAAAATATTAGATACATGTTGATACATACTTGTTAATATCAATTTTAGTTTTAAAAACAATTAGCTAAACTCGAGTATTGTCTGTTCCGAGCAATTTTAATTGATTAATTTTAAACATTCTAACTGTTTTTTTGTTTAATAAAATATGATTTAAAAAAACTGACAACATCTATCGAATTGCTACTTAGACGTGTCCTTTGTTTTCTCACAAAAAATCCTGAAATAGAAAATATTCTCATACTTGCGACCAAATTATGCTTAATTGTTTTTAAAGCCTGATATAATAATTCTAAGTTTTTTGTTCTTTAATTTGTGGCTTCTAGGGTTTAAAACTCTTAAGTTTGAGTAGAGGAAGTTACTTCTTCAACGCCCTCATTTAAATTAATACAAACTCTGGTATAAAAATATAAATTAATATATACAAAACCTTTCTGGGAACCATTGCAGACTGATAAGATATCAAGTGCTATTGAAACGATATGATTTCAAGAATCAAAACGTTTTCATCTATCTATTATATTTGGCTATATTTGTCATTTTCCAATTATACAGTGAAAACCGGCTTTTTCTACTGAAAAACCGGTTTTCGAATTCCATAATTTTCGCCAAAAAACTGGTTTTTGAAAACCGACAAACCCTAAACCGAACCTAGCTGTTACTCTGTTACTCTTATAATATTTTTTTAAATTAGTTAACCTTGACATAAGCATAAATAAAACTTCAGTAAGACGTTCACGGTGCGTTTTAATTAATATTTACAATTTTTTTCCACCATAGTGACAACTATATCAATTTTTGAGTCCCATCACAAGCCTGGCCTTGGCCATCAGCCTCTTGTCGCTCATAAAAATCTTCAATTTCTTCAGAGAGCCAGTTGCCGAAGAAGGAGCCCTCGATTTGATCTTCATGACCCTCTTCAAATTTTTTCCCATCTTGTTGATTTCCTTCGAAGCGATTTTGATCTCGTTGTCGATCAGTTTGTCAAAAGCGATTTTGTCGAAGATGTTGTCATCTTCCATTTTACCAGAAATCGATGGTTCTTTATCCTCTAATTGGTGCGACATATTATTTTGTATTGATAATTTTGCTTAAACGGAGACTGATAATTTTAAATTTTTTTGATGACCAAAAATTTTAGTTGTAACCTTCCAGAACGTCTTTTGTTTTTAAATTTTAGCTTGGGGATATGATTTTAATCTAGTCCAGATCCAAATCTTTTATTTTTTCATTTGATTTTTCTGCTAATTTGCCGAATTGTAAATTACGAATTAGTAGTATTTGTAAAAATATATTGAATGTTTCCACCTGTTGCAATTCCAAGGCTTTCAAACTGTTTAAATTGCGATTTAGACGTTCCAGTGATCCTAAAACAGTCCTTTTCATGCTTTTTAAGGCATCCTTATCCATATTGAATTTTTTTCAGAAATTTTGGACAATTTGCGAATAAAAATACGTGTAAGATAAATCTACAATAGATTACACTAATTATTCAAAATAAAATAAATGACATATTGTAATTTATTAAGTAGCTATATTAAATTTTTGTTTCAAATAATTTGCAGTCTTGAATCAAGCCATGATGAGTATATAAAACTTGATGAAACAATTTTCTGGTAAATTATGTGGAATTCGTATTTTTTTTACATTTTTCATATCTTGAAAATTTTACCGACAAAATTGCAATATATACATGAGTAAAAATTGTATAAAATTTATTAAAAACTGTTATTTACACTTGAATTTTGAATAATTAATTAATTAATTAATTATAAATAATACGTGTAAGATAAATCTACAATAGATTACACTAATTATTCAAAATAAAATAAATGACATATTGTAATTTATTAAGTAGCTATATTAAATTTTTGTTTCAAATAATTTGAATCAAGCCATGACGAGTATATGAAACTTGGTAAAACAATTTTCTGGTAAATAATGTGGAATTCGTATTTTTTTACATTTTTCATATCTTGAAAATTTTACCGACAAAATTGCAATATATACATCAGTAAAAATTGTATAAAATTTATTAAAAACAGTTATTTACACTTGAATTTTGAATAATTCGTAGTTGAAATGCATACTTTAGTAATAACATGGATTTGGAACATTTTTTCACTTTTCTCCAAATAACTTTAAATTATTATTTTGGACATTTTAATTGGTTTGCATTAGTAAAAACTAGATAAAATTTACTAAAATCTAGTATAAACTTTTAATCGCAAGGTAAGTTACTTCAGCAAGATATGTAACAAAAAATATAGGGTCCTATTACATCTTTGTAAAATTTTTGGCATAAAGCATTTATTTGGATTTTGACTTTTAATATATTTAAATTAGAAAAAAATAATGTAAAAATTAATGTTTG